TGCCAATCCATGTGCTACAACTTATGAAAAAGTAATTTGGGTAATTTTAGAAAAAAGGGCCTGCAAAATGGGGAAATGTATGTGAAAGTTTTCCAACTCATTATGGTGTTCCTCATAAATTTTTATGAGAAAACAAATATTTTGGGTACTGTAGGGCGCCAGATTAATGGGCTATAACATATGATAAATCGAGGAATTGTGGTAATTCATAAAAAAGGTCTGTATATGTGGAAATGTTCATGAAAAAATGGTGTGAGTATACGTGGTAATTCCCCGTCTAATTACGTAGTCCTCCTAATGTTTTTTAGATATAAATACTTTGGGTGCTCTAGATCCATGGGCACACGAGAAATCGAGAAATTTAGGTTTTTCTAAAAAGAGTCAATAAATGCATAAACAGGTGCAAAAAATGGTGTGAGTATACGTTGTGGTTTCCTAAATAATTATCCATGTGCTATAACATATGTAAAATTGAGGAATTTGGTTAATTCTTAAAAATTGTTCTATACATGCAAATATGAGTGTCAAAAATATGGTGTGAGTATACGTGGTGGTCTTCTAACTTATTTAAAAGGTCCTGATGAATATTTTTAAGAAAATATTTTTTGGATGCTTTGGGGCGTTAGTTCATGGGATATGATAAGAAAACGATCGATGAATTTTGATAATATTATAAAAATGGAATGTAAAAATATGAGTGTTAAAAAATGGTGTGAGTATACATGATGATTTCCTAACTCATTACAAATTGCTCACAAAATTTTCTTTCAAAAACTTTTGGGTTCTATGGGCGCCACATAAATGGGCTATAAGACAAAAAATACAGGAATTTGGGTAAATTCTAAAAAAGGACACGTAAATGCGGAAATGAACATGAAAAAATGGTGGGAGTGTATGTGGTGGTTTTCATTAATTATGGATGTCCTAATAATGTTTTTTTGTGAAAATAATTTTTTTGCTTTGTGGTGCCAGAACCTTTGGCTATGGAAAATGAAAAATCGAGGAACTTTGGTAATTTCCAAAAAGGGTCTTCTAAATGCGGAAATGAACGTTAAAAAAATAACGTGAGAATATTGGTGGTTCTCCAACTCATTAAGGAGGTCTTTATAATGTTTTTTGAGAAAATTTTTGTGGATGCTTCAGTGCGCTAAATCGGTGGGCTATAGAACACACAAGAAATTGAGAAATTTGGATATGTCATAAAAAATAGCTTAAATGCAAAATTGGGCATGAAAAAAAAGTTGTAACTATACTTGGTGGTTCCCTAACACATTATGGAGATTCTCATAAATGTTTTTGGGTAATTCCTAAAAATTGGTCTGTAAGTGAAGAAATGAGCATGAAAATGGTGTGAGTATTTAGTGGTTCCTCTACTCAATACAAAGGTCCTCGTAGAGTTTTTTAAGAATTTATTTGGGGTGCTACGGGGTGCAAGATCTCTTAAACTAGCTTGTAAACATGGAAATGGATGTTAAAAATGTATGAGTATACGTGGTTCCCAATCTCACTATTGAGGTTCTCATAAAGTGTTTTGAGAAAAATTAAATTGGGTGTTCCAGGGTGCCTGATTTATGGGCTATACACACAAAAATTGAGACATTTCGTAATTTCTAAAAAAAGCCAGTAAATGTGGAAATGAGAGTTAAAAAATTGTGTGAGTACATGTGGTAGTTCCCTAACGCATTGCGGTGCGCATAAAGGTTTTTGATGAAAAAATTGGATTTTCTGGGCACCAGATCAATGGGCTATAACACACAAATAATTGAGAAATTTGGGTAATTCCTATAAAGGGCATGTACATGCAGAAAATTGGAGTAAAAAATAGTGTGAGTATAGGTAGTGGTTCCTCAAATAATTACGGAGGTTCTCATAAAGCATTTTTTAGAAAAATGTTTTGTGTTCATCGTGACACCATATCTATGGGCTATCACAAACTGAAAATTCATGAAATTTGGGTAATTTTTTAAAAGGTCCTATAAATGCAGAATTAGCGTGATAAAAATTGTGTGACTATATGTGGTAGTTCTTTACTTATTACAGATGTTCTATTAATGTTTTTTGACAAAAAGTTTGGGTACTGTGAGGCAACAGATCCATGGGCTATAACACTCGAAATATCAAAAAATCTGGGTAATTCCTAAAAAATGGCATGTAAATGCAAGAATGGGTATGCAAAAATAATTAGAGTATACATGATGGTTCTCATACTCATAGGAAGGTCTTCATAAAGTTTTTAAAAAACTTTTGGTGTGTAACAATTCAGAAAACTAGTAGATTAAACTAGAGCCTAACACAAGGATTAGAGTCGTAAGTAAATCTTGGTACTCAATATAAATTTTTTTGAGAGGACCAACCATGGTTCCTTGAGAGGACCCTTTCAAAGGGTGAAAAATGCACTTGGGTACCCACGAGGGGGAACCACGACCATAAGGTGGACCTAGGACTCGTAAGTCATGGCCGTTGGTCAAGCCCCCATAAAACAGGCTGCAGGAACCAACCCTCGGACATGGATACCGCGTGAGTCAACTAACGCACCACAGATCTAAGGTTATGGGTGGTCACTGAAATTGCCATTTGGCAGTTGGCCTTAGGGGTCTTTTGTGGTTATCTTTTTAATTAATTGTTAAGTGGTGTAATTTTAGCCTATTTGAAAACAACTATATAAGTGTTTTAAACACATATACTAATCCATCTTGACCATAATCTCTAGATCTAAAAATAAAAAAACAAACCCTCTCTAAAATATTCTATCTAGAACTCCATGAATGAAGACGAAATGTGAAGCTAGGGTTGAAGGATCCATCTTTTCTACTCAATTTAGTTGGAATTCTTTAATAAGGTATGGTAATCCTTCATTCATGAAGGCCCTTCAAACTAAATTTCAAGTATACATTTCCCCTAAAACCTAGGGTTTGACTTCAATCTCATAGATTCCTTTCAAATTTATTTTTATTTGTTGGATTATGTTTAATTAAGGATATATTGAGGATTTTATAAGATTTTAAGTTGAATTCCCAAAGAACCCATGAATTCCCCTATTTTCTCAAATTGGATCTAAAAGTGTGGGTGAACTGTAGAAAGAACAATATAATTCAATTATGCTTATAGTAATAATAGTAATTAAATCATGATATCATCCATTTCTAATGTATTAATTCTAGATATTTTGATTGAATGTGACCAATGGTCCTTGAAGGGCAAAACATGAGAATTATATATTTTTATAAGGGTTATATATATGCATTTGGATCACTTTGAAAGTAAAGTGAATATGATTATGATTTAATTGTTGTGTTGATTGGATGATTATCCTCATGCACACACTATGTATGAATATGATATCATGTGAAAGGTTTGTCACATGTAGTGATTCTAAGGTTGGAAGACTACTATCACCTATTGAATGTATGAGCTTTAGTATGAGTTATGCTGGATTGAGTGCCAATACATTCTTCGGTAATTATGAACTTACCAAGACTTTATATGAATTCCATGGGAGTTTATGCTTATTACAGAGTGGATACTAATATCAGATGAAAGCTTATTGGGTTCCTTTCTAACATAGTTGAGTATGGGTTCCCAAAGTATGTATCTCATATGGGAACCTTATGCCTTTGTTGAGTCCGTATTTCTAGAAGCAATATCCTTATCCTATAAACTATGTTCCCGCATAGGTCTTTAGATAATGGATCCACCTAGCAAAGAGTATGGTGCTACCTTAGGCAATTAGGACAACCCCTTTCCGGTGTGGGGTAGACATCAAATTCCATTGTAAGATGACATGGTGTATGTCAGTTAAGGCTAATCTCCCACTATGATAATATGAACAAGAATATGAGTTATGCACTATAGTTAGTTAAGAAGCTTTCCTTTGTGTAGGAAGGATTTTGGGGTCTTACTCATGCATTGCACAAGGATGATTTGTGGGTATTTATGTTATGTCTCCATTATGTTATGATGCTCTTTATGTTGAATATTCTTGCGAGTTATGCTTTTAAACTAATATTCATGATGAACCTTAAACTTGGTAAACTGCATGGTTTTCACTAAAAGGTCCTTTTTGTCATATTTTAAAGGTTCTTATGCATAACTATCATACTTAGTGCATTTTTGTGGTAACCTATATTTCTTATACATTTTTCTAAAATGTGTAGGTGCTGGAGTATGAGGTGCTCTTGCTTTGATTCAAGTTTGGATTTGACTGTACTCCTTCGGGAGTCCTCGTAAACTCTAGTATGAGTGATATCCTATAGTTTCATTTGTGCATTCTATTAGACTTTTGAATTTTTGTTGTAAGGGTTGTGACCCTATTTGACACTTGATTTAAATAGATGGCTAATTGAGATAAGTCTCGTATTCCACTTTGCTTTTTTATGAAACTTTTGGACTTAACTGACTTTTTACACTTATTGTTGTGATGCTTTTTGTTATGATATGCTAAGTGTCTTACATGTGCCTTTAGGAATATTATGTGCCTTATTACGTACCTTAGGCTGTTATGAACTTCATAATCAGAGCACAAGGTTTAGAATGATTTAGGATGAAGTCTCATAAGACACATCTAGTAGAATCTTGTTCATGAGTGTGAAACGTGCCACATTTATGAATGAGAGACTTCTAGATGTTAAGAAATTTTACTTCTTTCATTTTTCTTAAGTCGTTCCTTGGAGTCTATCTCTATAAAAGTCCCTCTCATAATTCTTCTCTTGTCTCTTTAGGAAATGAATACACGAAAGGATAATGCTAGAAGGGTGGAAGAGGAGAATGTGAATGAAGGAGTTCATCAAGGTAATAAAACTCCTCAAGCCAACAAAAATCCAACTGTTCATCGGCTATGTCAAATGATGAGGTTAGGCCGGCTTTTCAAATGTTGGCCCAAGCTATGACCACTCAAGTTCAAACTTTTATTATTCAATCCAGACAATGAATGCTCGAACTCATGTGAATAATATAAATTCTGTAGCTTCTAGATTGAGAATTTTCCAAGAATTAACCCTCGTGTTTTCCTTGGTTCTAAAGTGGGGGAGGATCCTCAAGAATTTCTCAAAGTGGTTCATAAAATAATTGATGCCATGGGAGTGAATTCTGTAGAGGAAACGGAGTTAGCCACTTACCAATTAAAGAGTGTGGTTCAAGTATGGTATACTAAATGGAAGTATAATAGGCCGATGGGAGCAGGTCCAATAGAGTGGAAAGTGTTCATATTGGAGTTCCTTGATTGATTCTTTACTCGAGATTTAGGAAATGGTTGAAGAATTTATTAACCTTTGTTAAGGAGGTGTGAATGTTAAAGAAATTCTCTAAAGTTTACCTAATTGTCCAAGTTTGCTCCGGCTTTGGTGGCAGACTCAGGGTATATGATGAGTAGGTATTTGACGGGTATGTCTAGATTTGTGAAAAAAGAATGTTGTTCGGCTATACTTCAAGATAATATGGATATCTCACGTCTCATGGTGTATGATCAACAAATTGAGGAAGAGAAATCCCAAAACAAGAACATGGAGGTTAAATGAGCTAGAATAGGCGATGAGAATTTCTCCAATTTAAGGTCCTATGGACAAGGTCGAACAAAGTTTAAACCAAGGTTCTTCAACCAAGGCTCCTCTAGTGCTCCCCCAAGGGTGAACAATGATAGGGTGTCTAACCCTAAACCTCAAGGAGGTAATAGTAGTAGTTCATATGTTGCTAGGCTTTTGGAAAATGTGGTAGAAAACATGATGACAAGTGCTTTGTTGTCTTGGATGGGTGCTATGGTTGTGAACAGACAGGCCACAAGATGAGAGATTGTCCTATTCTCAAGGTTAAGGGAATGTAAAATAAGCAAGCTCCTCCAAATGGTTCCAACTCCAATACTCTAAAGCAAAACCTCTTTTATGCACTTCAATCCGTAGGTAAGCAAGAAAGATACCCGGATGTGGTGAATAGTTTGCTTAAGTATTTTCTATTGATGTATATGCCTTGTTAGACCCTAGTGTAACTTTGTAATTTTTAAAACCATTTTTGGCCATGGTGTTTTAAATATTCCCCGAGTGTTAAAAGAACCTTTTTTGGTCTTTACCTCGGTTGGCGACTCGGTAGTAGCAAAAAGAGTCTATAGAATTTGTCCCATTTCTTTGTTGTATATAGTAACCTTGGTGGATTTAGTAAAGTTAGATATTTTAGATTTCAATGTTTAATGATGCTATAATATGCTTATGCTATTCATGTTACTCTTATGTCTTTATCTCTTATGATTATGCCTATTATTGACTAACCGTTTGAAATATCTTATGTTGGTATTATAGTTTCCATACTCAGTACTTATCATACTAACGCATATTACCTATATGTTGTCCATGTACGGTCTTGAGGATATTGAGTTTCTATCAAGGGTAGAGTTTCCACTGATTATCAAGAAGTGAAGATTTGTGAGTCCTCATAGCATCTGAGGACATTACTACTATGTTGTCTTTTACGTTCTTTTCTATGTTTTGAATTTTATGGGCTGTGACCCAAGACTATTGTACTCATGATTTCATAGATGGTTTTTTTATACGTATCTTAGAATTTTTATAAAATGATTCCGCATTATGTCTTGCAAGAATGTTTTAATTCCGCACTACTTTTCGTATATATGCAATGAGATATCTAAGGTATAGTACAATACCTCTGAAAGGTCATGTGCACCGCGTTGTGATTCGAGAATACAATATCTACCAGGTTACACTCTTGAATCATGACACTATTTATTTTGAATAACCTTTCATTCAAGGAGTTTTATCAAAGACTTGTCAAAGAGTTTCCATGATCAAATTTCCCAACTTCCAATCTAAACATGGGTTCATTGTCAAATGGCTTTGAAATACATTGTTTTTATGTTTCTTCAAGGGTTTAAATATGATTTTCAATGTAATTCCTTGAAGAACCCGTGATCTCCCTAATCTCTAAATTTAGCCTATAAAGCGGGTTTTATGATCATGATTGGATGGTAAGTGGATTATGCTTAGATTTTGATGTATTGTTGAATGATATTACTATCTTTAACTATTAATTATGAATTGTGGAGGATTTATATATGTTTATCATGGATTGGAGAATTGGTAAGTGACCTAATTTCTAGTCTATAGTATGTGAATTGATGTTGTATGGTTTGGTCCACATATGATGACAGTGTTTACTTCATGTGTACCTATACATGTTGTGATGATGTCCTTGATGGATATATATGTAAAGTTAATTGTTGTTATGATGAACATGAGTATGAAGGTGCACCATGATTGTTATGTATAGAATCCTCAATGTTAGTATCATGATTAAGGTGTATTTATAATGTGAAATATAAAGTGTATGAGAATGTAAAAGTAAAGTAAGGTCTACATTCTTGATTGAGATAAGTACTAGTGTGGAATGACCTCTACCTATATGACCATGTGAATCATTGAACTTTTACATGTAGGAGTTGTCTATTCAAATGTTGAATGAGGTCTTGTCTCCTATGATGAAATGTGGGTGTGTGATCTAGAATCCCTAAAATACTCTATGTGTGAGTTTTTCATGACTTGAAGGATAGTGTAAATGTGTTGTGATCCTTCGAGGGGAAGTTTCCCTCAATACCAATTTGGTTATTATTATATCATTATGCGGAACAATATGTACACACACAAACCACATGCATAAGTATGAGTATGATATGTTTATAGTGTTAATTGAAATGAAAATTCTTATATATGACTAGAAAAGGATGAAAAACCATTCTCACATAATGTATATGCATGAAAAGTATATCTTCTTGTGCATGAAAAATATATGACTAGAAAAGTATAGTTCCTTAATTGTACTCTAAACTAGACTATGTTATGAATATGACATGTTTATGTGAAAGGACATTATCACATAACATAGGTTCTATAATGAAAGACCATTCTCATCTTAGCAACCTATGAGCTATATGATGTATGAGGGAATTAAGTCCCTAAATACTACTTAATGATATAATATTAATTAAAGGCTTAAAGATGTTTAAAAATAGGAGTTTGAGATTAGCATCGATTGAACATGAAAAATGAGAGTGGCGTTCTCACGTCTAGCAAGTCTTGCATCCCACAAGAGAACCTTCACATTTGGCAGGTCCGGGTTCCCAACATAGATCTTATCTAATGATTTGGAAAACTCCATTTATAGAAAGTCAAGGTTTCCAGTAGCAATATCCTTCTTGCACAACTATGTGCCCCTGTAGGTCTTATCTTAGTGGATCCACTTTATAGATATTATTTATGAAGGTTCTACCTCAGAGAGTAGTATCTTCAACCCATTAGAAAGGTCTTCATAATTTCTTTTTCTAAAATAGTTTGAGTTCTCTAGGGTGGCTGATCCAGGGCTAACACATGATAAATTAAGGGATAACAATAATTCCTAAAAAGGGCATGTTAATGCGGAAATGGGCGTGAAAAAAAAGGTGTGAGCATAAGTGGTAGTCTCCCACCTAATTACAGAGGTACTCAAGGAAACTGTTTTGGTGCTTCAGGGCGCCAAATCCATGGGCTAAACACACTATGAATTAAGGATTTCGTGTTATTTCTAAAATGGGTCTGTAAATGCAGAAATGAGCTTGAAAAGAACGGTCTTTTAGTTAACCAAATCATTACGGAGGTCCACACAAATTTTTTTGAGAAAACGTTTTGGATATGTCGGGATTCCAAATCCATGGGATTTAACAAATGATAAATTGAGAAATTTTGATAATTCATTAAAAAGGGCTTGTAAATACGGAAATGAACATCAAAAATTGGTGTGAGTATACGTGATGGTTTTCCACCTCATTATGGACGTCCTCATAAAGTTTTTGAAACAAAACTTTAGTTCTCATGGTTGCCAAATCCATTGTCTATAACACATGAAAAATACAGAAAATTTGGATAAATCCTAAAAAAGAGCCTATAAATACGGAGTTGGGCGTGAAAAATGGTGTGAGTATACGTGGTGGTTCCCTAACTCATTACGGATTTTCTCATAAATTTTTTGAGGAAAACTTTTGGGTGCTCTAGAGTGCTAGATCCATTGGCTATAACACACGAAAAAGCAAGAAATTTAGGTAATTACTACAAAATGGGCTTGAAATATATGGTGGTAGTATACATCGTGGTTTCCTATGTCACTAAAAAGGTACTCGTAAATTTTTTTGAGGAATAAATTTGGGTTCTCTAGGATAATAGATTTATGGTATTTATACAAACAAAAAATCAAATTAAATTGGCCGATTCCCGAAAAATCCCAATAAATATAGAAATGAACATGACAAAATAATGAGAGTATAGGTGGTTGTTTCTCAACTAACTATGAGGTCCTCATAATATTTTTTGAGAAAAATATTTTTGGTGCTTTGAGTGCTAGATTCATGTTTCTTCACACACACAAGATTGAGAAATTTAGATAATTTCAAAACATTAATCTGAAATGCAAAAGTGAGAGTGAAGAAATGGTCTAAGTATATGTGGTGGTTCCCCAACTCATTACAGAGCTCCTTACAATTTTTTTAAAGAAAAAGTTTTGGGTGCTACGAGGCGCCATATTCATAATCTATAAACACATAAAAATCAAGAAATTTAGGTGATTGCTAAAACAGGCCTGGAAAATTAGAAATTGATGTTAAAAAATAGTTTGAGTATATGTGGTAATTGATAAATTCACTACAAAGGTCCTGATATAGTTTTTTGAGAAAATATTTTTGGGTGCTCTAGATCGCCTTAAAATTGGGCTATAAAAAACAAAAATGTCGAGGTCCTCATAAATATTTTTGAGAAAAATAACTTGGGTGCTCCGAGACACCATATACTTTGGCTATTACATAAATATTTTTTTATAAATTTGAATAATTCCTAAATAAGGGATTATAATTGCGGAAATGAGCGTTATAAAATTCTGTGAATATACGTGGTGGTTCCCAACTCGTTACGAAGGTTCTCATAAAGATTTTTTTTGTTCCAGGGTGCCAGATCCATGGGCTATGACACACTTAAAATCAAGGAATTTTGGCAATTTCTAAAAAGGGCCTATAAATACAGAAATTGGTATTAACCAAATGGTGCGAGTATACGAGATGGTTCCCCAACTTATTAAGGAGTTCATTATAATGATTTTTGAGATTTTTATTTGGATGCTTCGAAGTGCCAAATTCATTGTCTATAACACATAAAAAAATCGAGGAATTTGAGTAATTTTTACAAAGGTCCTCTAAATATGGAAATGGTCATGAAAAAATGGTGTGAATATACGTGGAGGTTCCCCAACTCATTACGGATGTCCTCATAACGTTTTTTGAGAATTATTTTTTCTTATTCGAGGTGTCAAATCCATGGGCTATAACATACAAAAAAATTGAGGAATTTGGATAATTCTTAATAAACGAACTTTACATGCAGAAATGGGCATGAAAATAATGATGTAAGTATACATGGTAGTTTACGACTCATTATTGAGTTCCTCATAAAGAGTTTTGTGAAAAAAATTCCAGTTGCTCTGGGCACCAAATCCATGTATTATAACATACAAAAAATTAGGAAATTTGGATACTTGCTAAAAATGGGCATGCAAATGCGCAAATTGGCGTTAAAAATGGTGTGAGTATAGGAGGTGGTCCCCTACTCATTGCAGAGTCACTCGTGAGAAAATAATTTGGGGTCTTCGAGTCGCAAGATCCATGGGGTAAAACACATGAAAAATTATGAAATTTGTGTAATTTCTAAAAAAGAGCCAGCAATTGAGGAAATGGGAATTAAACAAATTGTGCCAGTATACATAGTAATTCTCTAACTCACTATGAAGGTCCTCATAAGTCGTTTAGAGAAAAAAATTTTGGGTGGTCCAGGGTGCCCGATCCATATAACACAAAAAAAAATGAGAAATCAGGGTAATTCCTAAAAATAGACTCTAATACCGAAATGAGAGTTACAAAAATGGTGTGAGTACATATGGTTGTTTACAAACTGAATAGGGAGTTCCTTATCATGTTTTTTAGAAAATATTGTGCACTCTGGGGTGCCTGATCCATGGGATATAACACATGAAAAATTAAGGAAATTTGCGTAATTCTTAAAAAGTGCTTATAAATGCAGAAGTTAGTGTTTAAAAATGGTGTGAGTACACATGGTGGTTCCCAATTCATTGTAGAGGTCCTCATAATATTTTTTTGAGATTTTTTTAGTTCTCGGGGGCACCAGATCTCTAGGTTATA